TTGGGCAGATCTCGAAAGGAAAGCAGAAAGGCAAGCGCAAAGGCAAGGACATGAAAGGTGGTGGCTGGTTTCCCTACGGCTATGGTGGAAAGCAAGGAGGAAAGACTTCCAAAGGAAAAGGGAAGAAAGGCAAGGGCAAGAAAGGTAAGAAAGGAAAGAGTAAGTATGGTTGCAATGGCACAGGAAAAGGTGGCGGTCAGGATAGAAACACTTGCAGGATTTGCGGCCAACAAGGACATTGGGGCAATGAGTTGAGTGTCCGAACAAAGGCCGTGCTCAAACCGTCGCAAACCAAGCCCAACCTGCCAACAGCACTGGCTGAGAGTGACATCGCCAGCTCTGCAGGAGGAAAGGCTAGAGTCAGTGGAGCTTCATCGACGGCGTCGACATCAGCCTATAGTGGAAGACCTCAAGTTCGTCAGGTGAGACTTTATCATGTTGCCACCCCAAAGAGTGAAGCAAACGCTCCAGTGCTCTTTGACTTGAAGAGTGAGGGAGGAGACAGTTGGATCTACGACGATAACTACCAGATCAACACTGTCTACTTCGTCGTAGGTGATGAGTCTGACCTTGACGAGGTTGAGATGACCATGGAAAAGACCACAAGATGGTACACTGATGCCAAGGTGAGGAAGTACCCTATGGAGGAGAAAGAGATGAAGAAAGATTGAGTTTTTCAGGTTTGCGCTGTCAGTGAGGCCAACGTGAGAACTCTCATTGAGCTTGCTTCCTCAAGCAATGGCAAGCTGTGGCAGCCTAGCGCTTCAGGCAAGGCCATTCTTGAAGACGCACAAGGAGGACGCCTCATGACCTATGGCAAGAAGTTGGCACAAATCGAATGTGAAGGCGAAGAGGAGACAGTGATCATCGAGGATGATTGTGTGGTTGCTTCGGTGCAGTGCCCACTGATAAGTCTGCGTACTACTTCAACGTGGATTGAAACTAGCCCCAGGATCTGGAGAAGCCAGTCACTTCAAGCGCAACTCATTGGCGCTCTATGGGACCATCAGCAGGGTGCCAAGAACCTGGTGAGGTCCATGGAGGAGAAGGTACAAAGACCCAAGATGATGATGAAGTCCTAGTGATTTGAGTGATCTTGAAGTTGAATGATGAGTTTTGGACACACTACGGACTCACAGCTTGCCCAACAACAAAGGATGGGAATCCCATGAGGTTTTGCTATGAGACCAAGAACTTCGTGGACGGGCAACTCGTGTGGAACTTGAACTGGTGGCCATTGAGATCAACCTTGATTAATTCGAAAGATGGATGACGCTTGGGAGTTGGTCGAACACTGCGCTCGCTACTACACCCATGAAGAGCCTGATGGTGAGATTTTGGAAACTCAAACGTTGACAATCCTGCACAGGAAGAAGGAACCTATTTCCTTCTTTGGTACAATCATTGGTGAGCAAACAGCTACTGCAGGTGGAACCCAAGTGGAGTTCAGTGCAGAGCCAAGTGTTCCTTTTGAGTTGAGCCCAGAACAGGAGGTGTTGGCAGAGGAAGTAGAGCGACAAGATGCTGAAGGAGATCCATGGAGTGGCCCCATACCCATGTTTGAGAACAAAGACGCCTTAGTGATCAACAACTCCGAGTTGAGCGAGAGAAGTTCTCTACGTGCCCTGAGAGAAGCAGCAGAGTTTCTAGGTGTTGGTCGTGGTGGGTCCAAGAATTCTCTGTGGACGAGGATCAACCAAGAAATCCAGAAGATGGAAAACAAGGAGCTTTTCACAGCGGCCAACCGACTGTTTCGTGAACAACATCGACATCAAGGCCTTGTTCCCGTGCGCGCTCCTCGACAGCCGAGTACAGAAGAACGGGAATTGCGTGAACTGACACACATTCCATTTCAGCATGCAGTGGTGTGGCTTCTGTGTTTCCTGCAAGAGTCGTGTGGATCCTGAAAGAGTTCCTGACCAATCAGAAGAAGGCAGAAGATCCATTCTTGCAATCCAGCTAGATTATGCTTTTGGCAAATCCCGGTCAGATGAGGTCAACAAGAACATTGAGCTTGTCAAGGTGTGAATGCTGAAACACGGATGCTGTTGTGTGTGCCAGTCGAAGGTAAAGGGTCTGACCTTCGAAACCAGGCAGAACATGACATGTGGTGAGGTTCTCTCTCTCTCTCTCTCTCTCTCTCCCTCAACCCCTATGGAAATGTTGAGGTGATCGGTGACAGTGAAGCGACGATGAAGGCGCTCTTGACCTATGTGAAGACCTTGCGCCATAGCCTGGGACTGGAAACAACCATTACCTTCAGTATGAAGAAAGGTCAAACTAGTCGAGTTGAAAGAGCAATTCAAACTCGTGAGGAGACTTTCAGCCAAGAACTCGAGAAGAAGATGTTGGCCAAGCAGATGAAAGAAGTGAAGAAACAGATGATCCAAACTGTTGTTGAGGAGAAGAGCAATTGGGGATTGAAGATTCCAACGAATGTCGTAAGAGCAGTGACCTTGCTTTTGCTTCAACATGGAGCTCGAGGAGAACCAATTGAAGAGGTGGCAGATGAGAAGGTACCAACGGAGCCCTACACTTGGTGGTTTGTCATCAAGGCACTGAGTGTCTACACGATCTTTGTGTTCCTCTGTGGCATGTATGTGGGCTATAGGTATCGAGTGAAGCTTTCGGTCTACCTCAGAACATTTCTCCGGTTCCTGAGACAAGAAGAGACCATGGAGTTTCAAAGACAACAAGATGAGTTTGCAGAAGTTGGCGTGATCGTGAGAGCAAGACGTGCAGCAAACCGCGGAGAGTGGAACCTTGTGAGACGCGGTAGAAACCTGCTCTCCAGTGAGAAGAAGGCCTACAAGAGAGAGAGAGAGAGAACAAGAAGTACGTGGACGAGAGGTGGAGCGTGCGCCGCAAGTGGAGGATCACGCAGAACCAGAACAGCAGGAGGCAGATGAAAGTGAACCAGATGAGGAGATGGAAGATGATGAGGGTGAGACTGAGATGCAACGACGAACAGCGCACCACATCATCACCGACTGGGCACTTTGGCAGACTACAGAGTGCTCGAGAGCGAAGAAGATGCCTTTAGTGGCGAGGAATACTTCATGGGCAACCCGGGCAGTGGATACCACAGGTACTACAAGCCAACGGCCTCAGGGCGTGATGACCCAAGCTTTGAGAATGATGCTGCGCCGCCGACCTACATGGATATGGACAACCCACCACTTCCTGAAGGGTACAATGAGGCAGGAGAGAAACCCAACAACAGGTCTGTGCTGGAACCTCCTTGATGCGGACTGGTGGGACTTTGAGAACCTCTTCAAGTACATGAAGAGTGAGGAAGAGCAGCGAGCTCGCCGAGTGCTCCAAGCCAGCTGAAGGAGTTTGTGAGGACGAGGCTGGCTTCGACCTACAGCCGTTCCTACCCCCACGGCGTTCGACCACATTGTCCATTGGGGGATGGACGATCGCCATGACTATGGCGCCTTTTGCAAGATCGTCTTGATGGGTGAATGGGATGATGACTTTGACCGATACGTTCGGTTGTACCTCGACAAAAATGGATGAACTTGCGGCTACAGAACGCAACAAGTCCAAGGTGGAGTGTTGGACATTTTCACTGTTCACGAACGCCCGACAGTGGCCCGAACCTGCGCGCGGTCGCGTTTTCTTTCAGGTTCACAAATTGCTGCGCGTGCTACGAAATCTGCACTTCTAGCTTCGCAAAACGTTGCGCCTGCCACGAAAGCTGCGCATCGAAGTAAAACGGCCCGCTTGGGCCCAGTGGTTTCTGCGAGCTTGCGCGGTCGAATTTCACTTTGAAGATCTTGAGAGGCATGAATGCAGCGTAAACTCTTCTCAAGATGTAACTCGCTTTCTCATCAAATTCTGCTGAAGTGGGCAAACATCAACGCATCGAAGGGAAGGTGCGGAAAATAGCAAAAACATTGTGAGGTTGAGCAAGCACCCAGTTGTCTTGAAGTAGGATGGAACACTGGCAGTTTGCATGCCCCAAGCAAGACCTCGACATGAACACATCCCACTTCAGTTTCGTCGAAGGGTTTACTATATTTTGCCAAGTTCCAACTTGGCAATTCTGATTGTTGATAAGACATAACGAACTTCGGAACCACTCTCACAATCCTTGACATCTCAGGGTCGAATTCCTCATTTTTGCTCGCCGGATTCCAGCTAGCATAATGTAGCAATGTAGAAAATATGGCAATACTTAGCAACCTTCTCAATTAATCTGTTTTGACATGCCCAATCTGCACGATGGTTGTACAGTAATATTGCTATTGTGCTCACCACTTTGGAATCCTACTTTGCGAGACTTAGCAAACAACATTCTAATTTGTAAACCGACAGATCAACAATAACAACGGGGAGACAGGTCGTAACCACAGGCTGACGGATGGTTTCACTCTGTTTCCGCTAATCCAGCGGTCCTCAGCAGGGCATGTCTGCTGCTCATTATCCAATGAATGGTGTCTCTCCTTTTGTCCTCTTCTTTCGTTTTCTTTTTCCTCATTTCTTTTCTCTTCACTGATTGTGTTCAATTGCAGGTTGCTAAATTGATTGCTAATCAATCTGATTGCAAAAATTCAGAAAAGTCGCTACCCAAGGCAAATCTAGGTTGCTAATCCAAATCCAAATACTAAGTTACTAGGTTTGTACAAAAATACTTATCCGATGTCACCAGTTCCCAGGGCTATGACCCTTCCCTGTAGTCGAGACACGTACCGTAGTTCTGTTTAGTTTTTGACCGTTAGATTTGGGGATGACATGAAATGGCTGAGGTTTTGCTGTCCGTGTTGTTTGCAGGGCTTGCTCGAAATTGCGATGTGAGGGCCGCTTAGACACGAATTGCATTCTTGGAAATTACTTCTTTCTTGTCAACAACGGATTGGAGTAACAACGTCCAAGAGCTAAACCGCTTGGCCTCAGTAAGGGGGCCTCTTTTCAGGGCAACATTTTCAGGACCCAAATCCTTTTGGACAAGCTTGCTAAAGCATAGCTATTTCATGAGAACACAGTTTCTCCAGGAGACAGTGCCAGGATATGTGACTGCCTTGTCCTGCGTTGATGATGCACCGGTGTTGGGCTCAGTGCAGTATGGTATCGAATTTCAACGTGGACTGCATGGGGCCTGAATGGCAGGTGCTCATTGTCGACGAGATGGCATCGTTAGCAATTCCTACCCTGCACCAGCTGCTCTCATCTCGGGCTCCCTTGGTGTTGTTGCTCGGCACTTTATCAGGGGCAGAAGGCACTGGCGCAGCTGTACAGGAAAAGGTCTTCAAAGAGCTCGGGGCTGATTCTGCAGAGGCCTGTCACCATGCCACTTTGCCACCGGGAGTTTCAAAACGACAGTTCGTGAAGCTTTCCCTCCAAGAAGCAGTTCGGTACAAACCTGGGGATCCTGTGGAGAGCTGGTTGGATTCTTTGCTTTTCCTTGACATGCCTTCGCCTCCCACAGATCCCAAAGCTTACGGCACTGTGGGAGCGGCGCGCCTCATGGAAATAGACACAGGCTCCAGCAATCCACTTCTGGCTTCTGTAATGGGCCTGTTGCGGGGCCATTACAGAACTTCACCAAATGACCTGGCACGCCTTGTCAGCGATGCTCATATTAGGACCTTTGCTTTGGTGGCCAATGGTGGTCAAGGACCCCCTGCTGTAGCCGTGGTTGCCATTGAAGAGACGCCTGAGCGGCTTGGGAAAGGCACTGCCAAGGTCCACCAGACTCACTTGCTGGCACATGGCGCCTTGCAGATCTATTGAAACATAGTCTTTTCAAGGGAAAAAAGTCCTGTCTGACTTTGCGGTACAGGCATGTGTGGGAGCTGGACTGTTTGTTTATCAATTTTTAGTGCAGGAGCTGACTGGTCAAAGCCTTTTGATCTCGCAATCCTCAGTGATCAAATGACTTCTATTTTGACTTGTTCAGATTCAGGGTCTTGTTGCTCCAGCTTTTCATTGCGGTTACACTGTAGCACATCAGATACTGATTGAGCTGGTTTAGTGTCATAGAAGGCGTTGCTTATGTAGCCAGACTGCTCTGAGGTGTAGAAAAGGAGTATCCCCATTTAGCTCTCGCACGGCTTTCGGGCCTGCGACCGTGGCGTGTAGTAGCAGCACCTGCACTTCGTGGAAGAGGATTTGGGCAGAAGGCTTTGGAGCTGTTGGAGGCACATGCCAGGCACCATGTCTCTTGAAGACAATTTTTGTAAAGTTTTGAAACATCTGTTGTGACTACGCCCTGAAGTCGGTCTTTTGGCCACATTGTTTACCCAGGGATGCCTTTACAACAGGGTGTTCAGCGGCAAGATTTGACTGGCTAGGGGTTTCCTTCGGCCTCACTGCGCAGCTTTTCCGCTTCTGGTCTCGTGCGGGCTACCGTCCGGTCGTCATGTCAAACACACCAAATGACCAGACGGGTGAGATGTCTATCAAGATGCTTCTTCCGATCAGTGCAGCTTTGCAACGGGCATTGCCAGCGATTATGCCACTGTTTGGCACGTCCTTCTACCGAAGGCTGCCAACTTGCTTCCGTCCTTCAGCGCACTTAGTCAACGCTTTTGCAGCTTTGCATTTGTTTGAGTTCTGTGCCTCGAAACAAAACGACACTTTGGGCATCACTTCTCAACAGGTCATTTGGATCCAATGCTGGTGGTGGAGATCTTGGCGCTGTGCCCAGCGGCAAATTCAGGCACCTGGCAAGCCTCATCTTTGGAAGCTTCCAAATTGGTACCCCGGAGATGAGATTCTTACAGCGACAGACTGGGCACCCAAACGTATTAACATACATACCTTTGTCATTAGCACATCGTTCGACCCGGCCCTTGGCCTTTCAGAATTTACATTGCAGCATTCTTGTTTACGTTTCATTCTTTCAATTAGGTTGCAACATGTGCGGTTTGATTTTAAACAACGCAGCCACTTGCAGCCACTCGAGCGGCCGCAAGTGACTGCAAGTGACCGAACAAGTGGCTGCTGGAGCAAGTGCTGACTCTATTTAGCTTGCCCTTTTAGTTTTGATTCTTTTCTTCGTTCCATTTATATACAATATAATATAATATAATAAACATATATATATATATTATATATGTTTCTTTGCTTGTTCTATGTTGGCTGCCTTGCTGGCAGAAGCTCAAAACGTACATGTTTGCTTATGTATATAAGTTTGAATGATGCCTGAAGTTAGCGTACAACAGGCTTCATTGGATGCCAACATGTCTTCCTTAGATGCTTAGCCCCTGGGCCGAGGAAAAGTTGGCAACAGCCCGCAAGCCAGTTGAAGAAGTTGCACGAAATTACGTCGCTTGGACAAACAGTCTCTGTGACTGAAATCCAGGAATATGGTGTATTGTCATATCGCATTCCCTTGCTTGCAGTGCATCCGGAGCTATACCTTGGCTCAAGTCTTTTTGTGTCTCCTCGTGGACGTCTCCAAAAGTCAATTCCCAATGCGAACGCCATCGCCGAGGCGCAGAACGCCGCCAATGTCAGCTTTGACACCAAGGACCTCACCTGGCTTGCTGGACCGCATCTATGAGCGGAAGCGGGCAGCACTTGTGGATTTGAATGGAGCTGCAGAAGCACCTCCACGCAGGCGAATGCGCCGAGGTGATCCACAGGAATTGCCAGAAGAAAAAGTTACGGTTCAACGATTCACTTTGGTAAGTAGAGGTGCACCGCCCGCAAAGCGCTTGCCTGCTCAACATGAATTGCTTCGAGTACCACCCCGAGCATCAGCATATTTGGGAGAAGAAGTTCATGTTTGCCGTTGCTCTGAGTGTGACAAGCATGGTGTTCGCCGACGTCTCAGCGGTCGGCGCACTTGCCGGAGGGATACAGAGTCACACCCCGAATATGCGCTGTTGCTGAATTTGACAGACCGCTTTGAGACTGAATGCAACAGAGAAAATGCTGAACTGGTCAATGAAGCATGCTGTCGCGAGAAAAGTGCATTCTTCATCCTGGGCCCAGGATCGACTACAGTTGGTTATGTTGCTGCGGAAGTGGCCGCCAATCGCAGAATTCGACGAGGGCAAGACTCAGCAATCTTGGATGGTGGCGAGGATGACAAGACTCCTTTCGTGACGCAAGTCTATGTAGAGCCAGAATTTCGCCGGCAGGGGTACGCCAGCCAGGCCTTGTTCTTGCTATTGAGAGATCATGGCGAAGTCAGGGTAGATGCTCCATCTGATGTGATTTGTGACATCTTGAGGAGTCAAGGCTTTATTTGTGCCGGCAGTAGGGAAGGACCAAGTGGACGATCCATCGTTGAGTTTGCTCGTGAGGGTATCCAGGTGTAGATGCGGCAAGCACTGTCATGTAGGGAATGAACATTTGGCACGTTTGATAACGTATGACCTATGAACATGCAGGTAGACTGTAGACTTGGGTAGGACTTCTTCGTTGCCAACGCAAATCTCTGATTTCGTTTGGTTGGACAGTCATTGTCTGGCATTGAAGCGGAGTTTGATCAGAGCTTTCAGGCAACGCTATTCAGAAGGCTTTGGGCACTGCATTGAGCGGAGACCCGTCTAGTACAGATGCATGCAATGTAATTTGTGGCTGGCTGCCAGAATCTTGAATGCACTAGATCCGGCAGTTAGCACGCCTGCCAACGGCCTGTCAATGCTCCTGACTAGCGGTTCAGCATCATGGCGACAAAGAAGACCTGGCCGCCTTGTTCGCTTGTCGCTGAGTCGTTAAAGCAGCTGATGAAGCAGTTGAAGCAAATTCGCGGCACGAAGTGTGCATTGGAAAGATATTTCACATGTTTAAAGCCAAGGATGTGTTTGCTTGCTTGGCCTCAGCATATTTCTTTGGATGCCTGGCTGGCTTGCGCTTTTCAAAGACAGAAGAAGCTGCCTTGTGTGTGAAGCACTTAGTGACGTTTTTGGAACTTGTGAACTGTCCCATTAGTAAGCACGGCCAGGCTTATCATAGCGTTCATGAACATACACTGTACACGGTCCGATTTTTGGCACACGTGTTTTTTCCTCAATTTTGTACAATCACTATGCATAAAAATCAATTTAGGGAAGTCATGGGGTTGAAAAACGAATACTGACATGCGTAATTTCTGGAAATATGTTGAGACACTCTTTCCATGGGATGATACACACATCGAAGTTAAACTTGCGTCCCGTGATTTAGGATGCATGCTGCAATACAGTAAGCGAATAGTGTTGGGATGCCTTAAGACCCGGATTCAATCAGCTAAACGCCGGCTGTTTCGTCTCCAGAAGCTTGACCTTACTATCCCAGACAAAGCAGGCAATTTTCAGTCCGCTGTATGGCCACTAGCCTTTTATGGGGCAGAAAGCCAGGTCATTGGCGATTCTCATTTTGTTACCCTTCGAAGGCTCGCTGCAGATGCCTTAATTGGAAAACATAAGTTTGCATCATCATACATTGCTCTCCACTATCTGTCAGACCGAGTTATGGACCCGTTATTGTATGTGGTTGTGACGGGCCTACGCTCCATTCGTAAACTCTTCTATTATCATCCCACCCTCGCTAACTCCATGTGGTCTGAGATAGTGTCTAGTACATCAACACAAGGACCATGTGGGGCCCTGACCAGGTACTTGCAACAATTGCATTGGATTCCTCTTCAGGGAGGCTACATCGACATGCCGAGTGGCCATCAACTATGCTTACTAAACCAATCCACTAAAGAAATTCGACTCATTTGGCGTCATGCTTGATCCACATTTGTTTTTTCCCAAATCAGTCACCGCAAAGTGGTCACGTCATGCCTTTTTGATGCTTATACACAAATGACAGTCAATAAAAAGTTGTCCGACCGTGAACTCAAGCTTTTGTGTCTTAATGTGACAGGAGGCTTCCAGACGTCTGCCGTTAAAGCAATATGGGACAACACCCAATCAGAAAACTTTCACTTTTGTGGCCGGGTTGATTCCCATTCTCACCGAATGTTATTTTGTCCAGACTTCGGACATATTTGATCATCCCACGTCAACGCAATAGGACATCTTCAACAACATCCTCACTTGATGTGGTTCCCACTTGCCACGGTCCACCCTCAAGAGGTGGCTTACCAGAGACTGAAACTTACTCGGACGGGACCCTTCCTTGAACCCAAGTATGACGCATCAATGCATAGACATGTTCTGTTTACCGATGGCACCTGCGACCGACCAAAATCGCAAAATTGTTGCAGGGCAGCGTGGGCAGTATTTCGTCAGGTGACATTGAGTCCTCCTGACCCATCCCTCCAAGATTTCGAGGTTTTCCAAACATCACATGTAAAAGGCATTCAGTCCATCAACAGAGGTGAACTTGAGGCGGTGGCTTGGGTCTCTGATTTTTATTCACAACAGATACCTCGTCCTTTCGTTGACTTGCACACAGATTCCCAATTTGCCGTTCTCACAGACCTCTTCAATCCGCGGATAGTCCAGATGACCTTTATTCCATCTTGGGAAACATGCTAGCAGATGAAACAGCCAATGTAACGAATCGAATCGGCAAGACCTCGAGGCCATGCAAACCATTACGACTCATATTGAGCAACATAGCACGGCCCAGCAGGAAGCTTTGATTCAAATCTACCGCTACGTGGTAGACCTTAACGCTTTGCATTCCAAAATAATTACGCCTCGAAAAGGATAAACCTGTTGATGGGGATGCTGAAGGAAAGGATGTAGATGAAAGCTCCCTTTATAAAGATACACTCGTAAAATGGGTTGTTCTGGGACCGACTTGGGCTATGTCGGGCAGCCTCCTTCCAGTTGTAGCACATGCGTGCCCTGCCAGATATGTGTGTGCTATGGCAGTATGGAATTTCTTCTCTCAGCTCACATGGCGGAACCCAGACCTTCCACTAGATAAGAATGATTTTGGAATCACGTGGTGTGAGCTGGCCTTGCATTGTTCGATTTATGCAGGTCGGTGTCTCTCCGTGTGGATCCATGATTCTGATAAAGGCTACGCGGTCCCGTATGATTTCTTCTCCGATCCAGTCTTGTTACAAAAACCTGAGTTTCGTAGCCTCGCTCACCAAACTTCCGCTTTCCGGGCAGTCGTTCGATATTTAGAAAATAGAGGCAAAACTCAACTCTATCCGCAGTGTAAAAAGACAGGGGCGAGCTCACTAGTCCAATTAGGTCTCCATGGATGTCTCATTGGTGGTCTCGCAGCACGTCCAAATTTGCCTCAAAATGAACTTGCGTACACACTGCTTAATGATTATGCCTCTCTCGCGGGCCAGCCATACCCATTAAATGTACGGGTGCCATTTCAACCAAAATTGGACCATGCCTTGATTACTCCGATTGCCATTTGCTACAAGACATAATCTACATCAGCGTGTAAAGAAACGCATTCGTTTGAAGCAAGATCTGGCCTCGCTCTCTTGGAACACATAAATTAGATGCAATTGGGCCGTTACGTTACGTTCGCATTAATTCGTGGATGACATGGACTGTGTATTACACCAGTCACTTGTGGTTACATTCACGCGTGCACGTTTTGTACATCTTCGACTGTGTGTAAATAACTACCCTAGAGTACCCCACAAAGTGGAAGGGCTGTTAGGGGCGTGACATGGACGAGTCCGCAAGTTGGTGTGTGGCACACGTTCTTTATTCCCCAAACAGTTTTCTGTTGGGGTTCTATCTTAGAAAGAAACGAGCTGGCCACACTCACTGGCCGCGCCCCTGAACTCTGTGGCTGGGCTCTGTGTCCAGGCCTGTCCTCCTCTTGTCCTCGTCTTGGCCGCGCCCCTGAACTCTGTCAACTTTGTGGCTGGGCTCTGTGGCTGGGCTCTGTGTCCAGGCCTTGTCCTCCTCTTGTCCTCCTCTTGGCCGCGCCGGGCTCTGTGTCGCTCTGTGTCCAGGCCTTGCCCTCTTGTCCTTCTCTTGGCCGCGCCC